TTCCACTTTCCATCTCATTGAACAGCAGCAAGAAATCTACCATAAGAACATTTGACTGTAAAAGACTAATTATGTCCGCTGTTTAAATTCCAGGGATTTTTTAAAGGAGCAGGAAAGGGAATTGTTGGAACAGTTACTAAACCTGTCACAGGTGTTTTAGATTTTACATCTGGGGTGGCAAACGCTGTCCGTGATAAAAGTCAGGTATCTTCCAAACAACATCCACCTCGTAGTCGAGATCCTCGTGTCAGTCCTGGTATACATGGAGTTATCTCCACCTACAGTCCCTCGCTAGCTCGAGCTCAACTACATCTTTATAATCTCAACAACAATAATCATAATGAATAGTAAGTCAGTTATTTTTCTAGATTTTAGATGTCAATTATTGAACTATACTAAATAGATATTTTACTTTTATTCCAGATTTATAAATTTTAGATGTTTATTCCAGATTTATGAATTTTAGATGTTTATTCCAGATTTATAAATTTTAGATGTTTATTCCAGATTTTTAAATTTTAGATGTTTATTCCAGATTCATAAATTTTAGATGTTAATTTTAGATTTATAAATTTTAGATGTTAATTTTAGATTTATAAATTTTAGATGTTAATTTTAGATTTATAAATTTTAGATGTTAATTTTAGATTTATAAATTTTAGATGTTAATTTTAGATTTATAAATTTTAGATGTTAATTTTAGATTTATAAATTTTAGATGTCAATTTTAGATTTATAAATTTTAGATGTCAATTTTAGATTTATAAATTTTGGATGTCAATTTTAGATTTATAAATTTTGGATGTTAATTTTAGGTGTTAATTTTAGATTTATAAATTTTGGATGTTAATTTTAGATTTATAAATTTTAGATGTTAATTTTAGATTTATAAATTTTAGATGTTAATTTTAGATTTATAAATTTTAGATGTTAATTTTAGATTTATAAATTTTAGATGTTAATTTTAGATTTATAAATTTTAGATGTCAATTTTAGATTTATAAATTTTGGATGTCAATTTTAGATTTATAAATTTTGGATGTTAATTTTAGGTGTTAATTTTAGATTTATAAATTTTGGATGTTAATTTTAGATTTATAAATTTTAGATGTTAATTCCAGATTTATTAATTTTGTATGTTAATTTTAGATGTTAATTTTAGATTTATAAATTTTGGATGTTAATTTTAGATTTATAAATTTTAGATGTTAATTTTAGATTTATAAATTTTAGATGTTAATTTTAGATTTATAAATTTTAGATGTTAATTCCAGTTTTATAAATTTAAGATGTTAATTTTAGATTTATAAATTTTAGATGTTTATTTTAGATTTATAAATTTTAGATGTTAATTTTAGATTTATAAATTTATGATGTTAATTTTAGATTGATAAATTTTAGATGTTAATTTTAGATTTATAAATTTATGATGTTAATTTTAGATTGATAAATTTTGGATGTTAATTTTAGATTTATAAATTTTAGATGTTAATTTTAGATTTATAAATTTTAGATGTTGATTCCAGTTTTATAAATTTTAGATGTTAATTTTAGATTTATAAATTTTAGATGTTAATTCCAGTTTTATAAATTTTAGATGTTAATTTTAGATGTTAATTTTAGATTTATAAATTTT